GTATACTTTATTGGTCCCCGTGGGGAAAATCGCTCTCTGCATTTAACCCATTCACTCAGTGAAGCAGTGGGCAGCCATTGGGCGCCCGGGGAGCAGTGTGTAGGGACGGTACCTTGCTCAGGGGTACCTCAGGGTAGCTGTTCAGGGGAATCGAACCCCCGACCTTCCGATCATGGGGCCACCACTCTACCTACTGAGCTATCCCTGAGCCACGATCGCCCCCACGATTGTGACAAAACCAGTAGAAAATCTTCAATCATCACTTAAAACAGGATCCTGTGGCTGCTAGATCAGCGGCCAGCATGGATTCTTGAGTCAAACTAAGTCAGAAATGTAAAATAGTACTAATGTATGCTGTCGTATTCTGATCGGCTTCCTTTTAAAAACACAAGGCGGGTAGGCGGAGCTTCTGCACCTGAGATGACTATGCTGGATATGTCCTCTCTGTAATATCATACAGGCTCAAGAGTTTTAAAAGCAGGGTTAAACTGAGTGTTTAAAACAGCGCACTGGGATTGCATCTATTATTAGAAACCTCTTTAATATGAACGCCCACCACTAAACAGGAGAAATATGACAGGAAACAAAGAAACACAAAATTGGGCCACTTTAAAAACTCACAAACCCACAAAGCTCATTTTGGTTTTCCTTTGACAAATAAAGTTGATGCCACCTACAAAACAGATGGTGGCACTAACATGTAATAAACAAAACAAAGCTTTTCTCGTGTGCCCCTGAATGACACAGACAAGCATCCAATAAATATCAATAATAGTTCAAAATGAAGCCGCCATTTCCACGGAAGAACTGGGTCCTTGAATGCACCATCATCAGTCAGGAAAACAAGCATCTTTTGTCTCCTTTAAACTGGAGGACGGGGGCACGCGAGGACATAAAGAGCAGCGAGAGCTGGTGGGCGTCTAAAAGGAGACGCTCATTATGGGATGTTTCCTCTGTGAGAAGCACTCATGGCTTCTTTGCTGAATGCAAAGCATTGATTTTTCTTCTCTGTTTGGGTTCAGACAGAAAAGCATTAGCGTCCACTCGATGATGTTAGGCCAGGCGAGAAGCAGCGCGCGTGCGTGTGCACCCGACTTATACTGACAGCTATAGAAAGCGAGGACATTTTTAGGCTGTTCCTCTGTGGAAAAGCACTGAGAGTCCCCACAAAAATAGAAGCACAAGCGTGTGTGTGTGTGTGTGTGTGTGTGTGTGCGCGCGCACATCATTCAGCGGGGGGACTTAGCTTGGCTGTGTCCTAGATTCACGAAAGCCAAATGATAATGAGCTCAGATTGATGCTCGCCTTCTTCTCCTCCTCTTCAGCTCCCCTCTCTCCTCTATGCTCGCCTCCTCTCCTCCTTTTTACATCTCTTTCCTGCTGCCTCCCCTCCCTGTAGTCCTCCTCTTAACTTGCATAATCATTTCTTTCACATCTCAGTCTCTGTCTCGTCTTTGCTCGTCTTTTGTTCCAGTTATTTCTTCTCCTCTTACCTTCACAGTGGTTTCTGTTGTCGTTCTGAGCTTCTCTCTTTTGTTGAAAACATTTAAACACATTCTCCACAAAAGCTCCAGATAAAAAAAATGAAGCCAACTTTGTTAACGATGAGAATATTTGATAATAACTGTTGTGCTTCAGCTGTTACACATTAAGCACTTCCGGTTCTGCTGGAGGACTTCACTGTTGTACCGTCACTAAGGACACATCTTCTTTATCTCTGCCAGTTTTCGCTCTCCTCTCACCGTCCTTTATGACCAGCTGCATGACTCAGATTCTCCTCAGGTCACCTGTAACTCCTTCTCACGCTTGTCTAATTATGGATGAATTGTGGGGCTTTTTTAGGACCGGTGGTTTTGGCGTCTCAGGAACAACAAGGTGCAGGAGGGCTACCCCATGCAGATCGATCAGTTCTGGAAAGGCCTGCCACCTCGCATCGACGCCGCCTACGAGAGGACTGACGGCAAATTTGTCTTCTTCAAAGGTATGTGGAATAAAATTTGAGGTATACAAATAGTTTCCTTTTTCCTACACTGACTAACAGTTAATATCGGTGCGTCACAGTCCTGCTGGAACTAGGATTTTATTTCTGAGGGTCCAAACACATGTATAGATAACTGTCGTATTTGTTAATGGCATCAACAGATGGAGGAGCATTCTAAGAGTAGGCACGGGCAGCGATTCACTCCTTTTGCCTTTGAATTTTATTTGACCCTCAATGAAACTGTAAACTCACTGAGGGACATTTGGTTCATATTGAATTGATGTTACGTGATCTCATTACTGACCAAACGTATTTATTTTGCATAATTTAGCAGCCGTACTAACAGGCATCACACGCTCGGCCTGTTTTCTGAGAGCAGGTGTATAAAAATCAAAAGCCTTACATTTAAATTCAGCCTGCTGTCGTGTTGACGGTCGGCTTTTCGTGCACCACTTCAAATATTTTGAGATCTCTCAGCAAAGTCACGTTATGCTAAATCGTTCTTGTGCCTCTGTGATGGAAACTCGCTGTCCTCCATTGTGTCAAAGCAGCGATCCTTAAGTGTCGTTTAGCTTTTTGAGAAGTCGACAAAGTTGCAGGGAGGTAACTCTGTGATGTCGACCAAGCGGTGAGCAAAGTGTGTGCTGCTGCTGGTCCTCTTGTCCTTTCAATGTTGGATCAGTGCATTTACACCCAGAATAACAGTGTTGGGAAGGTTACTTTTAAAATGTATCCCACTACAGATTACAGATTACATGCCCCAAAATGTATTTAGTAACGTATTCTGAATACCACCTTTTTAAACGGTAACTGTAACAGAATACAGTTACTCATATTTTGTATTTTAAATACGTAACAGTGGTACATGTTACTCCCCAACACTGCTGAATCATTTCCACATGACATTCAGGTCAGTTTCTGTTAGCGTGACAGTGACAGACATCCTGAGGCGCACAAAAGATGATGTTGATAAGAACATCAGCCAAATCTAAATCAGATTTTTTTAACAGTTGTGTGATGTTTACATGAGAAGGTATGCAGAATCAAACAGAGGAATATAAATTCAGGTCTGACTCCTTCCTCCACCTTCAGTCTGAGCTTAAAGATTTCTGTGTCTCTCATTTTCACGGAGACTGAATTTACCTGCTCTAAAAAAATCTCTTGATTTTACCTAATAAGCTGAAAAATTCTCCAGAATCTGCCACCTGCTTCAGCGCTATGAGGCTCTGTCCTGCTCTCTGCATGCCGGCCTTCTCCTGATATTTAATAAAGTGTAAAATAGAGAACGGTGTGGCGGCGGGGAGCACCCGGCCCAAAGGCCCCTCGTCCCCTTCCTGCTGACTGTGTCTCTCGATTTCTTTCACTCTTTCTTACGTTCCCGTCAGCACTGACACACTCTGTCTTTGCATCACTCCTGAGGACATCACGTTCACTTGTGTTCAAATCTTAATCTTAGATTTGCGTCACACTGATGAGAAAAGAGCCAAAGAAACACGTGATTAATGATTAACAACAAAAAGCGCTGCAGGCCGATGGCAGCAGGAACGTCTCAAACGGACAAGGAGGTTCATCCCAGAAAAACGAGGAGTGCGAGGAGCTGACAGTCAAACGGACTCTCAGGAAAGAACAGTGAGAAAAAAAGTCACATCCAACCTTCAAAATAAAACAGGAAGTGCACTGATAGAGGCACCAGGATCAGACCCACTCTGGCTGAGGGTTTTTCTCATTTCTCCAATTTGCCCCTCCTCGTCTCCTCCTGCTTGTGAACCGGAAATCAATCTCAGCACGCCATGTTGGAGGACGCGTGGGCGTGTCCTTTTAAGTGTTTTTTACCTTCAGTATGTAAAAGCAGAATCGATGGACTGTTTAACCAGCTCATCCTCTGTTCACGTCGCTGATGGGAGGGGCTAAGCTGGGTAGGATAGCCACACAGATCCAAGAAGCAGTCCTCCTCCTGACAGGATCTGGATGTGTGGGCGCCTCATGCCACAGGTGAAAAGGACACACCTGTGCGACCTCCTCTCTGCTCCAGGTGCTTTTTAGGACGTGCCTCAAAATCAACTGTCCAGATTGATTTACGTGTCACAGGCAGGACGAGAGGAGAGAAAAACCTGCCGTAACCCGACCTCACCCCACTGAACATTTACAAGGACTGAGTGACGGGAAGCTCTGAGGAACGCCGTCACATCATATTTTCATTTGCAATAAAACATTTGGTGGTAAATTCTCAAGTAAATGAAATAAAGTGAAGGATTTTCAGCCGTGCTCTCAGACTTTTGGACCCCTCGTTCATCGACGTCTTCTGCCAGCCAGGAGCAGAAATTAATAGCTTTGCTCTGTCTGAGCTCTCAGCTGCTGACTCTCTCACACACACACACACACACATACACACGTTGGGTATTCATATCTTGTGGGGGCATCTAATTGACACAAGCCCCTCCCCTAACCCAACCGAACCATAACCTAATTGTAACCCTGACACTTAAATCACATTTTAAGTCTCAAAAATGGCTTCAAACTCATAGCAAACCTACAAGTCTTGGTCCCCACAAAGATATGAACACACACTCACACACACTGCAAAGACAAACACATATTTGTACCAAAATGTTTAAATAAGTCTGAATCAAACTTTCCAGTTTAGAAGCCTTCAAGTTAAAGGATGTAAAAGACATTAAAAAAACATCAGAAACTGTAATTTCCTGCTTAAATCTACCCATTAATTCATAATGTACATTACAAACTGCTTTAAATGCCTGCTGAGTAGCTATTAGTGTCTGTAAAGGACATAATTGGGATTCAGTGGCTTTGTATTAATCTTTGTTTTTACTGTGTGTGTTTTTCCAGATGATCAGTACAGGCTTCCTAAAGGAGCGTCTGTCACAGCAGGATATTTAATCAGCCTTTAAAAGGGGCTTCGTGGAGTACTTTTATTTATTTAATGTCTCTTTGCGTTTTCGCCCATATCCTTCTTCCGAACAGTGAGAGCTGAATATTTAACAAAGCTACAGAGCAGCTGTTTTAATCTTTGTTTTCTCGCTGTAGTGGAAATCGACGCTCTTTAACCACGGCTGTTAAATTTCAGTCTTCTGTCCTGTGCAACCCCACCACCAAAAACAAGAGTATCTATAAAGATTCTTATTTATGATACGACGCCGGGGAGGTCGTGTTTTCGCCTCTGTTAGTGTTCCTGGCAGCTAGCGGCTTTATTTTGAAACCTACAAAGAGAAAAGCTGGCAGACGGATCGGCCGTCTGCCAGAGAACAATCGATTGTTGATGATCTATATCTGGAATTTCAAATATTAAATAATCATTTGAGAAACTGAGGGAGAAACACATTTTCTCAGACTGTTTGGAGGATAAATAATTTAGTTCAAGTCAATAAAGTTTGAGAGCAGCTATTTGTGCTCAGAACCACAGACTGTATAAAGAAGATGGAGGCAGCCAGGTCGTTATGGTTGAATCTAAGCGTAAAGACTAAACCTGCTGGGTCTGTGGGGCCTGACTCACTGGAGCCCCCAGTGGACATTAAAGGAACTGCATTTATGGCAGTTCTGTTGCTGCTTCTGTAAGATCACAACACAAACTGAAAATATTAAAATGCTCACTTACTTCTTCACGCTGGTTCCAGGTGATAAATACTGGGTGTTCAGGGAGGTGACGGCTGAGCCAGGGTACCCTCACAGCCTGGTTGAGCTGGGCAGCTCCCTCCCCAAGAGTGGCATCGACACGGCGCTGCGCTGGGAGCCCGTCGGGAAAACGTACTTCTTCAAAGGGGACCAGTACTGGCGTTACAACGAGGAGAAGCACACCACCGACGCAGGATACCCCAAACCCATCACTGTGTGGAAGGGAATACCGGACGCTCCGCAGGGGGCCTTCATCAGCAGGGAGGGATGTGAGTGGCAGCTAATTATTCTTTTGGTTTCAGGCGTGAGACGAGATCCGGTCAAATCTGAGGTATCCTTCATCGATCTCAGCGTCGCCTCGTGCACGACGGCAACACTGGAGCTGAGAGATTTCAAAACACGAGAAAAAACAATGGTTTCAGTATAATTTAGCTTTGATTCTGTGTTAATGTTTAAACTTTTCTGACACTGATTTTCACGCAAGCTGAAGAAGAATTTCTACTACAGATCAAACAAAAGGTTTTGGACATTTGATAATAACGCGTCAGCGTGTTAACGAGCTAAACGAGCTAACCGTGCTAACGCGTTGGCGCCGTGCAGCCCCACACACGGGGCGATCCGCGGTACCTCGCTAACAGAGATTTGCCGCATTAATGCGTTTATGGAGTTAATGTCATTTTAGCGAGATTAACGCAGACAGCAATAATTTCTTCCAACATATTTACCGTTTGTCTCCTACATTTGTTTTCTTATAAACTTCCTTGAATTAAATTCTATTTTTTATGAGTTTGACTCCAGGCAGTTACATAATATACAGACATCAGGTAAAAGCAATTTTAATGCAAAAACGTTACTTTTAACATAGCGCTGACAGAAAAATACGTCCATTTCAAAAATCCATAGAACTCAGCTGACTGTAAACTGAAGAAGAATTGCAATGCAGAGTCACAATCAGCAGCTTATATTTACACTGAGGCCACGTCCACACGTGCAGGTTTGAAAAATATCTCTGTCAACATGTAAACGGCAAAAACGTCAAACGTTGTCAAGAACAGGCCAAATCCTAGCCGTGTAGAAATGTTGGCCAATCAGAAGTCTAGAAGTCAGGGCGGGAAATAGTAAACAGGCTTTACTTCTGTGCTACTTTTCAAGTCATCATTTCAAATGTCAATAACCAAAAACAATATTTTGGCTGGTGTAGACTCACAACTTAGGAATGAACCAAATGCATACAGCATGCACAAATTTTAATTTAAAACAATTTCATTTATTCAAAAGCGACGACGTCAGGACTGTGAGAGCGTCTGTGTTGAATGTTCACTCTGACGCCTGTCTGTGTAAATGGAGGGACAGTAACTGTGTGTGTATGTAAGCGTGGACAAACTGCAGATAGATTGACAGCAGCAGTGTTTTGTCTCTATCTGCTAAATCTCCGTTTTCCTCGTCCACACGTAAACGCAAAAACTGAGTTTTTGAAAATCTCAGTTTTCAGTGATCAAAAACGCCGTTTACGTGTGGACGAAAGGTCCAAACGCATATAAAAATCTGCGTTTTCAAAAATACTCGTGTACGTTCGGACACCTGAGTAAAAACCCTGTTAGTCGGCTGTTTATGCTGCAGGGTCATAAAATGCAGCGACAGAGGTGTGAGACACAGAAAACTGTCCATCGTCACTTCCTTTCCTTGAGCGGTGACCTTGTGACCTTGCGGCTTCCTCTGTGGAGTTGAGGCCGATCTTTGCACGACGTGGTGACAGGACGACACGGCCAGCCGGGTGTGGTGTCAAAGATGAGAAACCGTCCTGCAGGGACTTTAGAGGCAACAGACAAATGTGTGCGACTGTGCGTTGGTTTCCTCGGGGCTGTTCGGAGGTGATGGAGCAGACGAAAAGGCAGACGGCACAAGAAGCCCTGTGGGTGTTTTCTGTTGTTGCTACTTCGGCATGTGATCCCCTCACAGTGGAGTCTGTGGAGGAGTAAACATACAGAGCTGGGTTCAAACCGTGTTTTAGTCGCTGCGTCAGAAATTCTTGCTTTGCCAGACGCTGCACATCATCTTGCACAACTTGTTATTGAGAATTTGTTCCAGAGCAACAACCAGAGTGATGTTTGACACCTCGTGTCCTCAGGAAAACCTTCAAAGGTCTTTACCGTCGCGTGTGTGCAGACGAGCAGCGTGTCAACATCTTAGAGCAAACGTTAGCTTTTATTACAAACTGGACCTGGTTTGTTTACCACCAGTTAAATGACGACGGGCTCTAGTGACATCATAGCTGGCACATCCAGTAACAACAAACAGGATTTAAGTGACCGTGGAGACGAACTGATCCACCGGGAGGATCCATTGAGCCCCGAAGTTGTTTCATTTTTTAAAGAACGTCCAACCACCTGCTTGTTTTTACAGTAAAATCTGAATGCATGACTTTATAAGATGGTCTCTTTGCTGAACTGAAGGGCTGCCTCCACACGCCTGAAGAGGAAACAGCTGATATTTATAAAACAGTAATATTAGCTAACAAATGCACTCTTCTCTTTACGTGTCGCTGAGTGTTTCCTGTTACAGCATCCGTCTCGCAGGCATTGCATAACATCGTCCTTCAGTGAGAACATCCACTGCTGGGACCAGAATATGGTCGCTGCCTACAGCCGCCACATCACAGCAGAAACGATACTGCCTCTAATAAGATCCACCACCACAGGGACACACCAGAGCTGCAGACGGATGAGTTTCCGTTTCAGAGTGGAGGACGGCGTTTTTCTGTGCCGTGCATGGACGTGTTCGTTCCCTCGGAGACAGTTTTCGAGGAGTTTCCTGTTAATCGCTGTTTGGTGTTAGTAAGTGCAGCGCCACTTCACCCGAGAAACCTCGAGTGTTTCTGACACTGAACCAGTAGCTGCTCATGCAATATGTGTGTAATATGGTTGAGAAGTGTTTGTTTTGTGGTCCTGTGGTACCACAGTAGATGTTTAAGATGGTTCACAGCTGGAGCGCTGAAGCTTGCAGGGCGATGATACAGCGGCTATGTTGAAGCTGACGATTCTTCTTAATTAAAAAAGCTAAAAGGTTGGGCACATGACTCTGACATCGTAACGTCCAGCAGGTCAAAATCAAATAGCTTTAGGGGTTAGTGCTGATTTCTATTTAGCTACATGCTAAACAAACAGCGTTTTGGAAATTACAAGATGCTATATTTAAAGTGCGTCAAATATGTGGAAATTCCATATGAACAGGTATGAAGTTAACTGCACAGAAGTCGACGTGGTGGAGCCTCTGTGTCCTGCCTCAATGACAAACACAACAATAACTAGTATTACTGGAGCGTGTTTGTTTGTGATAACACATTAGAGCCATTTATATGTATGTACATCTAAACTATGGCTCATGTATTGTGTGATAAACTTTAGTTTCATAATCATCGCCTCTTCGTCTCTGATGTCAGCATCATCAACCCGGGGATGCGACTATTGGCTGGAGATCCTGAATTTGAGTCGCAACTTTTTTTCTCTTGTCATTCATTCTTTCAAGAAGCCTTTATTTATGTTTGCTTTATTCTAATATATAAAAAGATAACAGATAAAGAGATGCAAGACTTGTTGGAGGGCAACAAATGTTGAACACGCGTTTTCTCGAAAGCAGCAGAGTGTCTTGAATGTCACAGTTTTCCTTTTGGAACAAGTTTTAAGTAGACTTGACCAAAGTCCAGCCAATGAATAGTTTGCAGTCAGTCTACATCTTTGCCTCAAACGCTGTTATTTTGCCGCTGGTTTTGAATGCAATCAGATTAGCTTGGTTTAAATTAAAGAAAGCGAGGAACAGCTCCCAAAACTCTACACAAACCTACAAATGCACCGCCAGTCCTTCCACAAACTAAATTGGACTAATCTGAAGTCTACCCAAAGATACCTTGTGTGTCTCTACCAAGCCACGTTTATCAGACACAGCAACATATCCTCAAGTCTTTTGGGTCCCTGTAGTGTCGGAGGCCGTTGGGTAGTTGCTTAATTTGCTGTACTTTCAGTGTCTTCTGTTTATTTTTGCTTCAGTAAAAAAAAGTTCACCTGACTGATTCCTCTGCTCTGGTCTTTCATTGATATCACTCTCCCATCCTCCTGCCTCTGCATCTTCCCATCCTCAGACTACACCTACTTCTACAAGGGGAAGGAGTACTGGAAATTCGATAACCAGAAGCTGACTGTGGAGCCTGGATATCCAAAGTCCATCCTGCGTGACTGGATGGGCTGCGACCAGTCCGACATGGAGCGCTCCGGCAACAACGGTAACCCTGGGGAACGCCAGCTGCCCCCGGATGATGTCGGCATCATTGTGACCATCAACGACGTCCCCCCGACAGTCAATGCCATCGCCGTGGTGATCCCTTGCATTCTGTCGCTGTGCATCCTGGTGCTCGTGTACACGATCTTTCAGTTTAAAAACAAAGGAGTGCAGCAAAACACCATGACACAGCACTACTATAAATACCCTGTTCAGGAGTGGGTATGACAGCCAACTTGATTCAGAATAGGTCAAAGGTCGTGGATTGAAGGACGGTCGAGCTGTAGTCATGCGTTAGCTAGCTAATGTAGGCTAATGGCCAAAAATGCTAGCAAAGGACAAAACGCTAACAATTGCTTAAAGATGTAGGCTCACTCAAAATGTGTTTTTGGGAGTGGATTCAGATTTCTGGCTCAGAGTGGGAGAGATTTGTTTCTTATAGCACATCCAGAACGATCTAAAAGACTTCAAAATGCATCTTTCTGGTTGTGCTTTCACTTAAAATGGGATCGTATGAACTTTGAAACCTTCTTCTGGGACGTACAACACACCGCTCTCCTGCTCAGTGAAAATTTAAAAAGAGTGGAGAAAGAAAGATGCTCCTCTAAGCCAGATGTCACCTCCAAGCTTGTTTTAACAACTTGTATATGTGAACTGCTACAAGTCAGATGAAATTTAAAGAAAAAAAGAGAAACAGTTTCAAATATCAAACTTGAAAATAGAATATAGGTAGAAAGGCCATAACAAAAAACCAAGGATCTCTCCGTGGATCACTGATGTTTGTTTGATTTGCGTTCAGCTGTTCTGAGATGTTAAACTGTCAAAGAGGACCTTTTTCTCTCTTTTTTCATCATTCACAAAAACATCACTATTGTCTTGGTCCATCTAAAATCAAAAAGCAAATGCACTGGTTTACACTGCCTGTTTACACTGGTTGGTTTCTGCAGGCGTAGAATAGCAAGTCATCGGCGTATAGACGTGGAAAAGCTCTACAGCTTAGCAAAATGCTAACACTAAACTTCTTAAACATCCTCTCAGATTTAAGGAGCTCTATGAATCTATGAAACGCCTCATGAGACATTTTTTAATGATTGTAGAAAATATCATTCATGAAGCACCATGAACCAGGAAAAAGGATTCATGCCCTCGCTGTGCTTTTTACTTGAATCTTGTTTCCTTTCATGGCATGTAGCAGTGGTGCTAACCACAACAGAAAGTTCAGAGGTCCTTTAAAACCATTTCTTTGACTTAACTTTTTTACCAGCAGGAGATTTTCTTTCTGTCCCTTTTTATATGTTATAAAATATATCGGACTGTTGTTACTGGACACGAAGAGAAAAGCTACTCGTGTTTATGCAGCTACAAACATATCACTGGGTAAATTGTAAGGGTTTATTTTTGAGGAATGAACTTTAAAGTAACCTCGTGTCTGATTGGCTCTTCCTCCTCTGAACATACATGTGATTAATAATGATTTCAGAGCTTCTCTTAAATGTTACATAATAGTCAGTATTTATTCTCACCTTTGACTTTGTGTTTTACTACAGCACGCACATCAAACTTATTTTAGTTGTGACCCAATCAGAGTGAAAATAAGACGGCAGCCTCTTTGTAACTAGAAAAAATTTGTGAATGTTTACCGGTGTGGTGACCGATTACTTACGACTGCACGGGTCACCTGGTGAGGGATACTTAGGCTACGTTCACACTGCAGGTCTTAATGCTCAAATCCGATTTTTTTGTCTGCTCGTTCACACTACAAATAAAATGATGTCACACACAACGCGCTCTGTTCAGACCCAGAGCAACAGTATTGTTTGACTGATGGCCTTAATATAAAGACTTCGGACTTTACGTTTCCCAATTTTTGCTTTAAGTTATTTTGTTATTTACATAATAATGTAAATAACCTAATAATGATCCTTATTGCTGTTTTAGAGGAGCGTGTTGCTTCAAAGGATAGCAGCAGATTTCTGTCAGAATCTGCAGATTATACAGAACAAATAAAATGTTCACGTTTCTCCAACGTTGTCTTCCCAACAGTTTCACTGACATCTACACTGGATGTCCAGGAAGCGTTCGCGGTGTCTTCTCCGGCGCTGATAATTGGCGTCTGTCTTGTGTCGGTGACGTAAAAGACGAATTTAATGCGACGTGACCATCAAACAGCAGTCGCTTTCTGAAACATCGGATAGGTATCGGATTCAGCACCACATACGAAAGTGACCCAGATCGGATTTGAAAATATCGGATTTGTGCCGTTCACACTGTCACACCAGGATCGGATAGATGGGTCACAGAGGGTCAAAAAAATCGGATTTGATGCGCTTTCGCCTGCAGTGTGAACATAGCCTTAGTATCCTCGTCAGTTCAACATAAGGAGAGACTGAGCACGAGCATTTCTGCAGGATGCGGTTAAACCAGATGCAACCTTCAGTCTATTAACACGATGGAAAAATGATTTGGTGGAAACTTTACCAAATTCGCAGAGATGTTTCTTCCAAAGCATATTTTCAGTTTTCTATAAATGTCATTAATGAAAGACTAATTACAGTGAAGAAAGGGAGGAAACACAAAGTTAAAGGAGAGGTTTGACTGCAGGGAGCTGGAGAGCGTGGGTCTGCATTAGTATGCCGGCTGCGGCGCCGCGACATTGACCAAGCTTAATGAAGTACTTCTGTTCACAAAGCTCTAATAGGGGCTACATGCCCTTCGCATCCCTCGCTTTAATCCGACTGTCTTTTCTCGCTGTCCTGCTGTAATTCTCCTCATCCGTCCGGCCTCTCGTCTCTTTGTCCTTCTAATCGTTTCCCCCTCGACCTCCTCCTGAATCCATCAGGGCTCCTCTCCTGTCTTTTTTTTTAGGATTTAAATCCATCTGTACGAAGCCCTCTGTCACGTCCAGTGAGCACCACGAACTCGATAAATTTGATTTGACAAGCGATTTCACCGTGGAGGCTACAGTGTGGTTTGAAAAAGTGCCAATATTCCTCTTCGTCTTTAGCTCTGACTTGGCAGGTTTTATGGTTTTAACATCTTTACGTGTTAGCTTTGTGCAAATATGCTCAGTCAACTGTCACAATATGAAGTTATATGGATGCATTTAAAGTGGGAAGTTATACGATATGTGTTTGGGTACATTAAGGTTTGTTAGGACAGACTGAAATCTACACCCAATCTGTTTCCACTTTAATCCTTTGAAATGAAAAATTTTAGGGCGTAAGTTTGGACGTTTCTAACAGCTGCCGAGCGGGACGCCAACATAAAGATGTCTGTGCTGTTTGATGAAAAGTTTTATCCATCTGGCCTCGCAAAGGCAGCGATGTACCCTCAAAGAAGCAGATTTCAGTGCTGTTATGTAACACTCCAGCAGCGCTGCGGTGCTAACTATAAAGGCTGCTTTATTTAAACACACGCTGCTCATTTAAATGCCATTAACCCTCCTAACATGACTCATAATGGGTCGTGCGGAGGCCATTCTGCTCCCCAAAGGGGCTTTGGAGTCCCCCGTCCGTGACCTCGCACCTCCAGCTAAAAAACACCGCTGGGACATCCCGACTGAGTCACTGTTTATCCAGACGCAGCTGAACATTTATACAGGCCTGCTTTAAGCCCAGGCAAACACAATGTCCCTGTTTTATCTTGTTCCTAAAACACTTAATGATGTGATTCCTGCACAAGTAGGTGCAACCAACCTACTCGAGACCCCAAACATTTAAAAAGCTTTCCCTCTCTCTACCCCGCCTTCGTCGGCTCATCCACAAAGCTCTCTGTCCTGCAGTAATTGAATGTGTTCGCGGCGTATATCCTTGCAATTACTCGCTGCTGTCGAGAGCAATTCAGCACACGCAGCATTCAGCACAAATCGATGGCGTTCAATACCCCGCAGCACTATTTCGACTAGGTTGGGAAAGTGCATATCTGTTCCTTGAAGGTGTCCAATAAATGCAGAACAAGACATTCTGCTGCTTTTTTACCTTTAAGCCTGTTTACAGCATGCAGAAAAAGTCTGCTGGGAGGGTCGTGTAGCTAACGGAAACACGAACGTCTATCCAAAGAAAATTGCCTCCAGGACCAAACGCGTCTTTTCTCTTTGTGCTTTCTCAGCTCGATGGTTTGAACAGAGCTCCTCGGCGGGTGAAATTTAAAAAGAGGAAAATTGAAAAGCTGCGCTCTGAAAAGTAATGAGAACGACGGGGTCACGTGTGCTGTCATCAGTAGGTTGGGTGTTATCGGACACTTCCATGTACAAATGCTGCAAAAGCAAACACGGCGGCTCCACTAAGAGTTAGAAACGATCACCGTTCTCACAGGCGTACAAGAAACTTTAAGGTTCAGAACATGAACCAACTTCAGCGGCTGTGCACCGACAGTTTGACTGCTTTTCTGTTGGGATATCACGAAGTACCGCAGTCGTGCAGAGGACAAACAGCTGGCTGTACAATGAACTGAAGGCTAACTTGGATACTTATTGATATTTGGTCAGATGACTTTATTTGTCAGTTCTTGATGACCAAAAAGGTGACTTACTGTTTTTCATGGTGCACTTCTGTGTAAAAAGAAAGCAAAGTTTCTGATGGCTGCCCGGGTTTGACTCGTGCAGACGTTTATGCTCCTCGCTGTGACCTCAGTAAACACTTTGTTGTTGACTCTGTGGTCACTCGTCTCACGTCTGAGTGATTAAAACACGTTATGGTCATTATATGGGTCACGTTGTTAGTCAATAACATGCAATCAGATCCTCCTCTTGTTGGTCAAAACGTCTTGATAGCAACGAGGAAAATGCTCAGCTTGAGGCTTTTTCAGCAGGTCAGTGTTTAATACTGTTGTCACACTGAAATCTTAATTTTAAAAACGGAGCTTAAAGACATGCTGCACATGAACAGAGCTGATGAACTGTAAACTGCTTCGACGGGTATATTAGCTGGTTGCCTTCCTGACTTTTCTGGAGGAAACGTGGGGCAGATGTCGTGTGATCCTCGAGCTTGTTAAGCTGGTAGTTGGCTGTTTGTTGTGGTTTGTAAATAGCGTAGCTCCAGGCTCGGCGCTGTCATAGCTGCTCTGAGAGACGAGGAGGAGATAGAGAGTTGTAGTGTTCTTGCTGTGTCTTCACCTTGAGGGAGTAAACATTTCATGCCGCTAACACTAACGAGGGGTTCCCACCCCGCTTCAGCGCACACGCGTGTAATAATAACTACGTCATTCTGCTCGCTCTCGGTGCTGATCCACAGTCTCAGAGTGCTGTTATTTAGCTCGCACACAGCATTATTACTAATGTCAGTGTTGTTGTCATGTACTTACTGTATGTATGACGGTAGCAGGCAGATTAAAAATCTCTTTACATCTTCTTACATGTCGCAGGCCGCCGAGTCGCTGCACCGATGCAGTTGGGATTAAGTGCCTTGCTCCAGGGCACTTCAGCAGTATTTGTTCATGTTGAGAGAAACACTTTTCATGCAGTTCTTGGTGCTGGTTTTTCAGCACTTTTCGGGTTAAAGCTGCCAGCTTTACGGTGGGTCGCTTGACTCGTATTTCTTTTTCAGGCTCCTGTGAAGGTTGACATGAGTGACTGAGGGCTGGTTTCACAAAGACAGACTTGTAGCCTGCTTACCTTTAACGTCAGGCTCAATTAGGCATCTGAATGCTGCCTCTCAGTCGGACTAATCAGATGTGAAAGGCTGAAAACTTTTAAATAAATAATAAATATTCTAATGTAATATTATGAGGTCAGTGAACGTGTCCATTTGAAATAAAGTCATACTGACACTAGTTAGTTTAATTTGCTACAATTTGT